GGCGCGGGTGAGTTGGTGGCGCGAGTGGAAAGAAAGGTGAGAGAGAGGGAAGAGAGCAGTGGGGTGGGGCCGAAGAGACAGAGAGGGGGCGGCCGTTACAAATTAGTGGGTATTACTGGTTTGGTACCCAAACATGAGAGATTCTTATTGCGAGCCCTCCTTAATGCTTTCCCCTCCACATCGGAACGCTAATTAATGCGAGAGACGCACGCCGTTCGTTGTTGTTGGAAATCTTAATCCGTGGTTGATTGGGCATGCAGGAGAAAGCGCTTGTGTATGTGCGTGGGAGGAGGAAGGAATCAAATCGTGGGAGAGTTAAAAAGAGCGGGAAGCGGAAAGGGTTACAACATCCGCACATAGACACGGAGAGTGAACGCTAAAAGAGGGAGGGGAGGGGAACGGAAGGGACATGACAATTCATACCAGACATGGAGAGTGATTGGCCAAAGGTGGGGGGCACCGAAAGGGTCAAACCAATTCGTAGGTTGACATAGAGAGCGTGCATGCATTAAAAGAGGGGGAAGCGGAAGCGTCGCAACATTTCAATTGCGGGAGGGTTACAACGTGCGCCCGTTGTCCGTTTGCAAACCTGCGAATCGACAGACCCACCCCACCGTGTGCCCCGCGTCTGGGTTTCGTGGGAGGGGGGATACATACATACATACATACACGGAGGGAGGGAGGGAGGGAGGAGGGAGAACCGACCCGCCTCCAAAGGTCCATTCCACGGTTGAAAATAGAGGGCACAAAAAGAAAAGAAAATGGGCAGATGTTGCCAGATATGGGTGCAGTGATCGTAGCTGGTAATTAAATTCGGAATATTGGCTTGGATTATGACGAATTGGTAGTAGTAGACGTCAGGGTGGATCTCCATCTCCATCTCCAACCATTGGTTTTGGTGGTGCACAATTGGACTTGGCTGTTAAGAAACCGAATTAACTCCCCTCCACCTCTTCTCTTCTCTTCTCGGTAAAAAAAGAAACAAACGGACTCCGTTCACCAACCAACCTCCGTAGCCTCGCCCACACCGCATATAGGGGCTGTTTGGATTGTGCCCCATCTAGCCCCACCAATTTTTTGGTATGACCAATGTGAGGGCATGACCAAAATTTTGGTAAGTGATCATTGTTTGGATTGTAGCTGTCCATGTTTTGGCCCTTGCACTGTGGAGTAGCATGCTTGCATGCATTGTGAGGACCCACAGATTAAGGGGCTGTTTGGATTGTGCCCCATCTAGCCCCACCAATTTTTTGGTATGACCAATGTGAGGGCATGACCAAAATTTTGGTAAGTGATCATTGTTTGGATTGTAGCCGTCCATGTTTTGGCCCTTGCACTGTGGAGTAGCATGCTTGCATGCATTGTGAGGACCCACAGATTAAACTACAGCCAGCATGCAGCAGATACTAATAAAATAAAGGGATAGTTACCTGGGACCCAACGAGACAGAGAGTGCAGGGTGTGATGCCAAAATTTTGGCGGAGCTTTTCGCCGCCCTCAACTCGCCCGTGAGTTGGCTAAGTTTACATTGGCGTCTCGCGGGCGCGCTGGGCGTGCCAATTGTTTGGTAGTGATCCGAACGGGCACCAAATTTTACGGGCTTGCCAACTTTTTGGTCGGGCTGGTTTTAGTCGAGATCCAAACAGCCCCTAAACTACAGCCAGCATGCAGCAGATACTAATAAAATAAAGGGATAGTTACCTGGGACCCAACGAGACAGAGAGTGCAGGGTGCGATGCCAAAATTTTGGCGGAGCTTTTCGCCGCCCTCAACTCGCCCGTGAGTTGGCTAAGTTTACATTGGCGTCTCGCGGGCGCGCTGGGCGTGCCAATTGTTTGGTAGTGATCCAAACGGGCACCAAATTTTACGGGCTTGCCAACTTTTTGGTCGGGCTGGTTTTGGTCGAGATCCAAACAGCCCCATAAAGAGCGAAACAGTGAGGAAGAGTCCACGCCACCCCGCCCCGCCCCCAACCAGCTGCAGCCAGCGGCGCCGGCGACCGACGGCGGCCCCTCCCTCCGGGAACCGCCCCCAACGGTCCGGTCCGCGCCCCTCCGTTACATACACCCTCCAGCCCTGCCCGCCGCCCGCCAACCAGCGACACACCTAGGGTTCCTTCCCCTCCATTCCTCCCTTCCCCTTCTTTTCCTCCAACTAATTACACACTCCCGCCGCCGCCGACGTCCGATGACCCAATCGGCGGCCTGCCCCGCCCGGGATCGTCGCGGGTTCCAGCATTAGCGGCGGCGGCCTGTTCCCCATTCCGAAATCGCGGAGGAGGGACAAAACGATGGGGGTGCTTCCACTCCAGGGCCAGGGCCAGGGCCAGGCGGCGCTACCCGGGCTACGACCACCCCATGCACCTCGCCGCCCAGACCGCATGTATGTTTCTTTCTTTCTTTGTAACCACCTACCAATTTCCCTATCCCATTAGTCAAACCTTAATTAATTCGCTGCAGTACAAGTTACATCCATCAACTCACCATTCCACATGTCTTTCTTTTCTCTCTGTTTCTTCTTGTGCTGCTGCTGCTGCTGCTGCAGTCAGCGTGAGCGAGGTGGAGGCGCTCTTCGAGCTCTTCAAGACCATCAGCGGCTCCCTCATCGACGACGGCCTCATCAACAAGGTACTACTCTACTAGCAGCAGCAGCACACCAATTCATCTTGTTTCTTGCATGCATGCCCTGCTCAGCATGTTTATTTTCAATATTTGGTACAAAAACATGCTATTCAGTCGTGTTACAAAAAGAAATGAACATGTTTAGGGTACAAATATGTGGTCCAGTCATTTTTTAGGGTACGATGGTCCAGTCATTTTCTAGAGCCCTGTTCAGGGAACTTGTTGTTTTTGGTCACTGTCAGCCTCATAAACTTTTTGTATCAAAGACAGGCTGCCGTGTCTTTGTCTCTTTGATGCAGTTAGAATCTTTCTAAAAATGAAGACGGCCATGTGTTCCTTTCCTCATCTACAAGCAGTCATTGCATTCTTATTATTAATAGTTTGATATATGGTTCTGCGCGGTGCCACACCGGAATATATATTATTACACTGGGCCTAATGCTTATCACATAGTAACATTGTTCCTCCTCATACATGCCGTGCTTGCCATGTTTTTCTTTTGTTGGTGAAACACGTTATTTATTACTCCTACATTACAGTGTTAGAAAAATGGACTGGCTCTGTGGTGCGGTCATTTTCCAAAACCCTGTTCAGGGAAACTGCCGTTTTCTGGTTGGTGCCGGCCTCATAACTCTGTAAGAAAGACAGGCAGGCGTCTCTTTGGTGCGGTTAGAATCTTTCTAAATCAAGTTGGTGATGCGTTTGTTTCCAGATCTGCATTCATTATTTTTCAAAAGTTTGATCGATACAGTCTTTTTTGTGAGCACCATGTGCATCTTTACCCAGTATACAAGCTAGCATGAACTGTGCCTAATGCCCATCACAGTAGAGTGTCTTTTTGCACAAACTCATGCATGCCCTGCTTGCCATATTTTCCTTTTTCTTCTCTAGAAAACATGTTGATTGTTGCAGTATGACCAAAATGAAGCTGCTCTGTGGTCCGGTCATTTTCTAAAACCCTGTTCAGGGAAACTGCCGTGTTTGGTTGGTGCCGGCCTCATAACTTTGTAAGAAAGGCAGGCTGGCGTGTCTCTTTGGTGCAGTCAGGATCTTTCTAAATCAAGAGGGCCATTTGTCTGTTTTCCTGATCTGCAGTCATTATTCTTAGCATCATTTGCATCTGTAACCATCATAAAAGCCTCATAATTTCAAGGTCTTTTTTTTTATGCATAAGAACAATTGTATCATTATTTATTCTTGTGGAGAAAAACTGGAGTATTGATATTTTCTTAGATTGATTCATCGAAAGTAAGTACCGTCAGCAATCTAAACTTGCAACCATATTGAACAGCCTCTGTGTTGTCTGTTGTGCAGGAAGAGTTCCAGCTTGCATTGTTCAAGAGCAAGATGGACAATATTTTTGCTAACCGGGTATGTTTTGACGTGCCATCCTCTTCATTTTAATATGCTTCTGAATCCTAGTACTTGTCTACTATGAGTTGGCATGCTCTCGCCTATGGACTTGCTGAATTTACGCAACCTTTCAGATATTTGACCTCTTTGATGTCAAGAAAAGGGGGGTCATTGACTTTTCTGACTTCGTTCAAGCTCTAAATGTATTTCACCCTAACGTTCCAATGGAAGAGAAAATTGATTGTGAGTCATCGTCATGATGTTTCATTTTGGCCGTTTTGATACCATGTTTCTGCTTCCTGAACATTTCTGTTGCTTGGCAGTTTCCTTCAAGCTATATGATATGGACAACACAGGGTTTATCGAACGGAAAGAGGTGATTTCTGAAACTCTGTTTTCATTTATGTGCCACATCTTTTACAAATTTTAATTTCTATTCCCTGTAAACACAATCATGAAGATTCCAATATCTTGAAACTTTAGTAGAATTAATCTGCTCGTATTTCTGGACTCTGATGTTTGAAGTTTTATTTTGATGTGCTTCCTCCTTCTGTCATTGATGACATAATTTCTGCTGCCGCACCGTACAGGTGAAGCAGATGCTTATTGCTCTTCTGAGTGAATCAGGAATGAGGTTATCAGATGAAACCATTGAGTCAATCCTTGACAAGGTATGGACATTTGAGCCCAAAACCTGAGCTGTTACTCAGGTTTTGAATAACTTATATAGTTAAATTCAGAGCCTTCGTAAGAGTTCAGATATTGACTGATATGGTTCCTGTCGACAGACATTTTCAGATGCTGATGTGAATCAGGACGGGAAAATAGATAGAGCAGAGTGGGAGAACTTTGTTTCGCGAAATCCCTCCTTGATGAAGATAATGACTCTGCCATACCTAAAGTAAGTGTTGTATCTATGGTTCTGGAGAAAAAACAGAGTGTGTATAAAGAGGAAATGAATGCTCTGTTTTTATTCCTCTTCTGTAATGAGTTGAAGAATGCAGTTGGCATGAGCGCCATGGTTGCTTCTCATTGCAGGGACATAACGACCACATTCCCTAGCTTTGTGTTCAACTCGAAGGTCGACGACATCGTGACGTGAGCGCCGTGGTTTCTGCGACATTCTACAAGGCCTGCGCGGAGGAGGGGAAGGACATGTACATCTAATAGTATATCAAGGAGAGTAATTCTTTTTAGAGCAAAAAAAAATAATGTAAAGAGGTTAAGGTGAGTGAGGGTTGTAGTCTGAGAAATTGGCAAGTTGTCGCGATATGAACTGCATCCATATGCTGCTGCTGCTGTTGTTTGTTGTGGAATGCAATGTTAGCGTCAGAATAAAATTGTACCGGTTGGAAATCAATCTTCTTTTTCTTTCTTTCTCCAGCGGCGTGTCATGTTGATCCAAATTCCATCGACGCCCTAATCCGAGTCGTTTGTCATGGTCATGGTTGGATCGCCCCTAATAGCTGGCCTCTCTTTGTTTGGACAGCGGCTCCTCCCCGTTTTGCCCGCTCTAGTTCAATTTTCTCGCCGGTTCTCGCAAGCTCATGGCCAGACAAAACCTCCATCATGGCCGCTCTTCGTGAAAAGGCCCGGATTTATTCGCCAAATAGGCAAATCACGTCGAACCTCCTCGACTCCTAGCCAGGTTTTCTTCGGTCCGTTTTGCAGTAAAGGCGAGTTGTTTACTCCCTCTAGATCCATTTGAGCGACGAGTAATATGGATCGGAGGGAGTACTTGTTTTTTTTAGCTGGAAGCAAGTTGTTCACTGCATGAGTGATAAAGCGCGCACGTCCACAGCATTGCCGATTTTGTTACTGGGCCGCTTTTGGGCCGAGCACGACGAATCTATCCTCTCCTCTCCTCTGCCCACACTCTCTCTCTCTCTCTGGACGAGGGAGAATCTTCTACTAGTCCCACTCCCCCCTCCCGTCGCCGTCGCCGCCGGCCCAAACCAAACCCTAGCCGCCGAGCTCCCTCGCCGCCGGCCGGCGCCATGGACCGGAAGCGCATCAACGACGCGCTCGACAGGCACCTGCGGGCGGCCACGGAGCGGTCGTCGCCCTCCACCTCCCGCGGCACCAAGCCCAAGCCGCCCCCCGCCGCCGCCCCCAAACCCAAAGGTATCGCCCGCCCACCCGTCGCCGTCGCCTTACTTTCTCTCTCGTCATCTGGTTCTCCCTCTCCCGTGCGGCCTTAAAATTGACGTCTTTGTGCGCGGGCGTTGGGGGGCGGCAGAGCAGCTGGATTCGGACAGCAGCGAGGGGGGCAGCGCCGGCGGGTCCTCGGAGGCGGACGACACCTTCTGGATCAACTGGTTCTGCGCCATGAGGGGCAACGAGTTCTTCGCCGAGGTGGATGATGACTACATCCAGGACGACTTCAACCTCTGCGGCCTCAGCGCCCAGGTCCCCTACTACGACCACGCCCTCGATCTCATCCTCGACCTCGAGCCCGTCCAGGGTATGGTATCTACACCTCCTCGTTGATTTGTTATTGTGATGATAACCAGTTCTCACTCGCTCATCGTCGTAAAGTTAGTAAAGTAGGTTGCTCTGATCCTCACAAGTTATACTTTGTTGGTCGTCTGTGTGCGTGTGTACATATATGCAGGGGATGTGTTTGCCGATGACCAGAATGAGCTGATTGTCGCGTCCGCGGAGATGCTTTACGGGTTGATCCATGCCCGGTACATCTTGACCACCAAGGGCTTGGCTGCCATGGTAAGCATCTTTCTACTTCCATGGTTTGTTTGATGCGGGAACTCCTATTATATCGGCATGGTTTATGCTTTTTCGATATCAATCACAGTAGCAGCAGGTCTTGTTATACAGCACTGATCCGATCTGTTCCAAAACCCGAATGTTTCTTCAGCTGGAGAAGTTCAAGAACTGCGACTTTGGAAGGTGCCCCCGCGTGTCCTGTTCTGGCCAGCCCTGTCTTCCAATGGGGCAGTCCGATATCCCTAGGTCCAGTACCGTCAAGATATATTGTCCTAAGTGCGAAGATCTCTACTACCCAAGATCGAAGCACCAAGCCAGTATCCTTTTGAACTTGTTGCTTAGATAAGCACTGCAGGTCTATTCATTTTCAAAACCCGTGATCTGCTGAGATTAGGAATATGTGATGTGCTGTTATTGCTGTTCTGCCTTTTCAGCATCATACTATACCTTCATTAACAACTTATATGATCTTTGTTTAAGAATGTCTTGCTGCATTCTCATCAACGGGGCTGATGCGCTGTAAGTACTGGCATTTTCTTTGCTTGCCTTTTAAACATCTTTTATACTTAGATAAGCACTGACAGGTTTATTCATTGCAAATACTCTGATCTGGTAAGATTAGGAATAGTGATGTGCTGTTATTGATATTCTTTGCAAATACTCTGATCTGGTAGATTACCTTTTCAACATCACACTACCTACCTTTTGTTAATAACTTATGATTGTGAACTCTTAGTTTTGAAAAAAGTCTTTGTCATCGCTGCGGGCAGAGTCGTTGCAAATAGTGGTATTTACTTTGCTTGCCTTTGCCCTTTTGCATCCCTGAAGCTTGTTATAGACTGCCCATTCGGTTACAGTAATGATGAGCACTACATTTTTGCATCTGTAAGTACCGATGCAAGGTGCAATTTCTTGTGTGCTGCAAACCGCAGCGCGCCCCTGTTAGTCAATCTTTGTACCGCCTTAAGCCTTCCCACAGATACAGACGGAGCATACTTTGGGACGACGTTTCCTCATATCTTCATGATGACCCACTCGCAACTGAAGCCACAGAAGGGAGCGCAGCAATACGTTCCCCGGATATTCGGCTTCAAGGTCCACAAGAAAACATGACGGCATCATGGTGGCGTACTGCCTTGGGCTTGTTTCGCCTAGTACGTCACCAGGAACGATGAGGACCCGCACTATAGCTGGGCATGGAAAAAATGCTATGGCCGATTCAAGATGACAAGGCACCGAACAACTATGGCACATTCTTTTTCTCTGTATGAAGGCCTGCTCTTTGGAAAAGAAATCTTGAGGAGGTCTGATCAACCTGTCATATCCATGTCATGTTGGGTATTTGGACGATACCGGTGAGACAGCAATGGGTTTGTGCCTCTGATCCGTTTTGATTTTGAATGTGTCGTCCAAGAAGGGCATGTGCTGCTGAATCCGTGTGTATCCTAACGTATTTCACTCTTCGTTCTGTGGTGCCGAGAAATCGGACGGCTGAGACTGCTGGAGAAAACCGTGTTTCGGAGTTATTGTTGCATGTGATTTTGTGGAAAATTCAAGTTACATGTATGTATATGTCTCTCTCTCTCTCTTTTTTTTTCCCTATATCTGAAACGACAGTAGGACTGTAGGGATGTTGCAATACTGTAGAAACATAAGCTTTGATCTTCTTCACTGTGCAACGAGGATGAGGGGCATCGGAATCATTCCTAGCACAGCTGCGGGCCTCTCAAATATGCCAGAATGTCACTGTAAGAAGAACCATATTCTCCTGGCCAGTAGATCTAGACAAGAAATCAGACAAGATGTCATGTAAGTAATTCGGAGATGCTTGAGCACGGAAGAAGCAGAGGCCATTGCAGGAACGAAGGGCCTTGGCAAAGTCGCCGCACTACCGCGCGATTTACAATAGCAAGCAAAAATAGACCGAGGACTTGTTCCACTATCTCTGAAATGCGAGGTGTCGCGCTTCTTGGCCATGAAAAAAATTCTTGTCCCCTATAAGTCGAAATCCACCTCAATCCCCTCCAAACCTCTGCAATCCTCCCCAAGAGAGGTTTAATCGAACATAGCCTAAAGAGGGGCGAACCCTCCTGTAAGAAAGTCGCAAAAGTTAGGAATTCAAAATTTTGTTACCTAATTTACATTAACCCCAATCCACTGGGCACTGTGGTTTGTATTACTCTTTTATTCAAAAAAGAGTATTACTGAGAGTAATAAATCCTGGATCCAGTTCAAGTTACATGTACATGAATCTTTTTCTTTTCCTTTCTACATCTTAAACAAGACGTCACGGACAGTAATGTGTGAGGATGCACATTTAGAGAGACGATGGTGAGGGAGCAGCTTAGAACTTGAGAGAGAGAGAAGGCGACCATTGAAGCAAAGAGAGCGACAATCAAGAGCAAGCAAGTTGGGCTCATGAGGATCACCAAGGAGTCGAGGATCATGTTAGCCAACACTAGCATCGTGGACGGCAATGTCAAGGAGTGGTTCCGCATAATGCAAAAGGACATCAATGCACACATGTGAAGATTGATTCATTCAATTTTTCAACCATGTTTGAATTATCGTGTTGTTTGACTTGCTGAATTGTCCTTTTAACATCACGTTGATATTCCATGTCTATCGTTGAACGTGTGCAACATGATAAAGACGGCGAGAAATACGCCGCGGAGCACCCGGGCAAACCCGTGTTATCCGCGGACAGATGAGGGACGACGTTCTGATGGATATAATGCCGCTGGAGACGACCTAGTTAGTAATCCCGCGCTTCCAGAATTAGAAGTGTATATTAGAGCAACTCCAATGAACCCGACCCAAACGGACGGCGATTTCGTCCGCTTTTTGTCCGTTTAGGTCGGCCAGACGGACACGGATGTCCGCTTTCGCATTTGGGTCGGCGCGTGCGTACAACGCTGGCCTAAGACCTATTTTGACGGCACCAAAAAAACGAATGCATGCATATTAAAAAAAGAAAATCAGCATTAATTAAACATTAAAGCCAGCCACGAAGGCCGGCGAGAGTCCACGCATCCACATTTGCATTAAAAAAAACAGCCTAAAATAAACTACGAGGCGGCGTCGTCGTCGTCGTCCTCCTCGGGGTCCGTGAGGTCGATGAGCGTCGGCGCCGGCCCGGCCCGGGCGAACGCCGTGTTCCAGAGCGCCGTCACG